GAACAACCGCCGGGACAACCAGGAGACAACCGTCGGGACAACCATCGGAACAACCATCGGGACAACGATCGGGACAACCATCGGGGCAACCATCGGGATAACCACCAGGACAACCACCAGAACAACAATGGGACAAACAATCGGGACCACTATCTTGTCAATCATCGGGGTAACTATTGGCACAACCACCAGGGCAACCATCGGGACAACCACCAGAGCAACCGTCGGGACAACAATCGGAACACACATCGAGACAAGCCTCGGAACCACCACCGGGACAACAACGAAAAAACCGTAAGGACAACCATCGGAACAACCATCGGGACAACGATCGGGACAACCATCGGGACAACCATCGGGAGAACCACCAGGACAACCATCAAGACAACAATCGGACAAACAATCGGGACCAGTATCGGGTCAACCATCGGGGCAACCACCAGGGCAACCGTCGGGACAACAATCGGGACAAACATCGAGACAAGCCTCGGAACAACCACCGGGACAACCACGAAACAACCGTCGGGACAACAAACGGAACAAACATCGAGACAAGCCTCGGAACAACTTTCGGAACAACCACCGGTAACCACGGGACAATAGTCGGGACAACCGCAGGATAACCGCAAGATAACCCCGCGCACGCCCCGGGCCCGCTGGGACGCGACTCACTTTGGCGTGATCTTGGCATAGTTAGTGCAGGAACTCGCGCAACTTCGCCTCGCTCGCCAACAATTCACACCCCAGTCTAACCGACATCGAAATCGATTTCCCGGTTGGGGGACTCCGTTTCAGTTCGGTCTCCTCCCCAACCTCCGATGGGTCAGCGGAATGTACGAAGTGGTTGAATACGTCTGGCTCAAGCGTCACCCGCATCGACTCACTTAGCAAAGACAACGACTGCCGCCATTGCAAGCCGTTCCCGCAAGCACTAATCGCAGCGGTGTAGCTGACAGCGTCTGGCTCCAAATGCAGCAAGCACATTTCTCTGAGGAAAGATAAACCCTGCTGCCACTCCGCGCTGGCCTGGCACGCACTGATAGCAGCATTACAGCTGACAACGTCTGGTGCCAACCTCAGCCGCAACATTTCACTGAACAGAGACAACGCATGCTGCCACTCGCTACCTTTCCCGCACGCAGTGATGGCAGCATTGTGACTGATTACGTTTGGTTCGAGCGTCGCCTGCCGCAATTCGCCGACCAGCGAAATCGCATGCTGCCATTGGTAACCTTGGCCGCAAGCACTAATCGCAGCACTATAGCTAACAATGTCTGGCTTGATTCTCGCCTGCCCCGACTGTCTGAGCGACATCAACGCTTGCTGCCACTGCCCGTCTTTCTCGCACGCACTGATTGCAGCATTGACGCCGACGATGTCTAGCTCCACCTCTGCGTGACACATTTCGCTGAGCAGCAAAAGCGCCTGCTGCCATTGATGGCCCTTCTCGCACGCGCTTATTGCAGCACTGTAACTAAAGTGAGCTTGTGCTCTCACATGGGAAGCAAGGAATCCGTTTCCACGGTTCGCTCGGCTTGATCGCGTGTTGCTTGCGATGTGATGCATGGCGTCGGCGTCGTGTGTCGGGGGCGAAGAACATATCCGCATTCGCGGGCCGGGCACCGCATAACCGCGACCCCGCGGATACGGGATGCTTTTTCGTGGATGCCACCCGAGAAACGTATCCGCGCGACCGCGTGTCCACGGGATCGAGCCCTGGAATCCAGACCGCGAGGGCGCGGATATTGACATGTTTGCCGCTCATGACTGTAGTTGGGACGATCTGTGTAAAGCCGATGGCGCCAGAAACGGGAACACACATGACGCGACGCCGCTGGATACCGTCTCCCTGATCCCTAGATTGCGCAGTGCGATCGGCTGCGCGATTTAGATGGCGCGAGCGTTGTATCGGGTCGGGCGAAAGGGGGGGATAGCAAAGGGGGGGTTTGAGAATCAGCTCACGTAGCTGATTTTCCCGGCGCCTCCCGGCGCCGGAGGCGGCCATGTATGGAGGAATGGGCCCCTCGGTGAGGCCGAAACCAGCTGCCTGCAGCAAATTTCGTAACCCCCCCTTTCCCAATCCCCCCCCCTTCGCCCGGCCCGATTGTATCCGAGTCTTGGGAACATGAATCGGGTGTTCGCAGCCCGTGCACGCGTGGCGCGTGGCCAAAGGCTCTCGACTGAGCCAGTGCTCGTTGGAGAAGAGCCCGCTGCTAGAGGCCCCCTGCCAGAGCATCCGTAGCCAGTGGCTTTCAGCTCTCCATTCGCGATTCGCTGTGGACAACGTGGGCTTGGCATTGCGACGGAGGGGAACGATCAGACAACATCAGAATACGGTCTTGGAGGTCCGCGCGGGATTCTTGTACCGGCGCCACCAGAGGCCGTGCCGAGGGCGCCGCCAGGGGGTCTCCATCACCGACCCAAGAGATCTGCTCAGACCTCCGGAAAGCGTATGTTTGTGTAGCTGCGCCGTTCAGTACTCGAGGCAAAGGAGGCGGGCCTCGAATGACATCAGAATTTCTGAAAACATTCGCCACCGCACCTTCAGCGCATAGTGGAGTGCCCCGAGGCTCATCAGTCAGGTGCCAGTGCTCAAGGAATTCACCTCGAGGGTCTCAAAGGGCCCCCTCCCTGTTTCCTGGGCGCTCTTGGGAATTCTCTGGGCGCGCCGCGTGAGCTCCCTGGACGCTCAGCCGGCCCCAAACTACCCCCGAATCCCTAAGAGGGCCCCAGGAGGACCCCAGACGCGGTGCATGAGCGCCCCGAGACAGCCAAGGAGCGCCCCCAGATGCCCAAGATACCCCCCTCAAGACGACCCAGAGGCCCTCGAGACGCCCCAACAGGGCTCCGAGACCACCCGAGTGCTCAAAGAGAAACACACCATTGATTCCCCTACGATATTTGAACGAGTTTCGCGTTCTCGCCTTTCTGGGCTTCCGACGCTCCAAGACGGCCCAAGAGGACCCCGATATCGCTCCAAGAGGCCACAAGAGGGCAACATGACGCTCCGCGAGAGCCCCAAGAAGGCCCACGAGGCCCCAGAGGCGCCTCAAGAGGGCCCCAAGAGGGGGAACGCAAACTATCATGTCGAGCCCTCTTGCCCAACATGACCCCCGAGACTTCCAGCTGACACGCAGGAGGTCCTCAAGAAACCCCAGGAGGCCCCCAAAAAGCTCAACAGAGGCCCAAGACGCCCCCGAGACCCCGAAACACTCCAAAACTGCCGCCAAGAGGCGTCCGAGAGGCCCCCTCAGAGATCCCAGAGAAGCATTCGTGAGGTTTCCGGCCTACAACCCAGGAGCGGTGGAGGGATGGGCCGAAGGCCGTTCGATCCGTCGCCCCCTTGTGCTTTCTACAGGGGTGCACGGCGTGCCACATTCTACATTCATATATTACACCTGAGAAAACCCAATCAGTGGATGCTTTGGAAATTAGTCATGTGGATCTTGAGATCGATTGTGAGATCGATAATGAGATCGATAATGAGATCGATCGTGGATTCCATAGAAGACGATTGTAAGGTCGACCGTGAGACCAAGAGTGAAACCGATTCAGTGAGATCGATAGGGAGATCGATCGCGAGATCGCTCGTGCGAGTTCTAGTGAGATCGCTTGCGAGATCGATTGTGAGATCGATTGTGTGAGATCGATGGTGAGATCGATAGAGAGGTAGGAAATTAGATCGATGCTGAGACCAATCGATAAGAAGATCGACCGGGAACCTGGGAACCTCGCCGCCCACCGAAATCGGCCCGGGAACCAGGAACCCGGGAACCCGGAACCGGGAACCCGGGAACCCAGCGTGCGACCAACATCGGCGGAAAACTTTGGCCAAATCCGTCAACCTCCGCTAGGACCCCTTCAGTGCAAGCGCTGATTGGGGACTCTCTCTCTATGTATATATATATACATACATATATATATATATATATATATATATATATATATTCCAATGGGGTCTCGGCCGATCGCGCTGGCCGCGCGGAAAGACCCGCAGCGAACTCCACGTCCACAAACAAACGCCCCAAAACGGATGGCCTCCGAGACGGTTCCAAGACGCCTCCACGATGGGCCAAGATGGCCCCCAAAGACCTCTAAGGTGACCCCAAAATGCATCCACGACGGACCATGATCGCCTCGTGATGGCCGAAGGTGGCCCAACTGCCAGGAGGGCTGATGCTCCCTCAAGTCGTCATTGATTTTAAAGTTCTCGCCTTTTCGGGCTTCTGGCGCTCCAGGACGGACCCAACAGGCCCCGAAGATCGCCGCACAACGCCCCGAAACGTCCAAAGCAGGCCCCCGCGAGACCTGCAACATTGCCGACGAGGGCCCCCATGTCGGCCCCAGAGGCCCTTCGCGGCGTACAGAAGCCCGCCCCGCTGCGCAAGGGCAGCCCGCGTGCTCATCTGGGGGCGCAACGAGCGTCGCCTCAGCGAGGACCCCCCCGCACTGCAAGCTCGAAGGTCTGAACGAGGAGCGAGAGAGGGGATGGGGGAGGGCGGCGGGGGAGCAAAGAGATACCGATGCCGCTGTTCCCAAGGCCCATCCACGGGCGCGTTCTGGCTAACAAATCGAGGCTGATCCAGTCGTGGCATCGGGGAGCGGGCAAAGATGTCGGCATGTCTCCTCCATCGCAGTCAGACAGCCTTCTGCCCCGCCAAGAAGGGCGCGGGAGGAGGAGGGGGAGAGGTAGGAAGAGGAGGGGGTGAAGGGGAGGAGGAGGAGGAGGAGGAGGGAGGAGGAGGAGGAGGAGGAGGAGGAGGAGGAGGAGGAGGAGGAGGAGGAGGAGAGAGGAGGAGAAGAGGAGGAGGAAAGAGGAGGAGGAGGAGGAGGAGGAGAAAGAGGAGGAGGAAGAGGAGGAGGAGGAGGACGAAAAGGGGGAGGAGGAGAAGCAGGAGGAGGAGGAGGCGGAGGAGGAGGCGGAGGAGGAGGCGGAGGAGGAGGCGGAGGAGGAGGGGGAGGAGGAGGAGGAGGACAAGTTTTTCTGCAGAGGCGCGCAC